ATTACTTAGAAGAGCATTATATTCAGCCATAATAGCTTCCCTCCAGTTATTATCTTTGAGAGCAACTTGAATGTCTCCAGGTACACCTTTGCACTGAATGGAAAAGACTTTTGGTTTAAAGATGCCATGTTTGCTTCAAGTGATCATAGCATGAGTATTACTTGTTCTTGTATCTTGAACACTTTCTTGATTCTGATCTTGTTCACAGGGTACATCTTGTTCAAAATCAAGAGAAAGAGAAACATCACCCGTTTGTTCTATAGACTGCACATATGTCTCATTCCTTGTAGCTTCAGATTGAGCAACATTAGTTGCATCTAAGATCTAGTCATAATTGGAACTTGATCTTTGAACAACTGTATGATGAAGACTGGTATGTCCTTGTTGATTAAGAACCATAATAGTGCCACTCTTGTTATAAACAACCGATAAGGATCTCTATCGAAACATCACATTGGCACATTTGTTGTAAGATAATGCTTTATGAGCAAAACGAAAAATATTTTCGTTAAACACCACACTTCGGGATACATATATTCTTCGATTTTCATCCATACATTGATAACCATGGTGCATTGAAGAATAACCCAATAAAACACATGCCTTGGAACGAAAATCCATCTTATGTGTATTAAACGCCATGGGATGAGGAAAACACTGCAACCAAAGATTTTGAAAAACTATAGTTAGGAGGCTTACCATCCAGCTTTTGATGAGGTGAAATATTACTAAGAAGCTTCGAGGGCATCTTGTTAATAAGGTAGACCGCAATGAGGACCGCATGAGACCAGTACGTCAGAGGCATTGGTGCTTTTTCCAATAATGCTAGAGCAATTTCAACTATGTGCCTGTGCTTTTTTTCCACTACCCCATTTTGTTGTGAGGTATGGGGCCACGACCTTCTACGTTAAACACCAAGACGATGTGAGATAGTCTCTAGGAATCGAAACTCTCATCCACTATCTGTTTGTAACGCTAAAATGGTTTAATTAAATTGATTTGAAACTATAACAACAAACATTTCAAAGGCAACAACAACTTCACTTTTATTTTTTAAAAGATATACCCAGTTATTCCTTGAGTACATATCCAAAAAGCTCACAAAATATCGAAAACTACTAGAAGCAATAGGGGCAAGACCCTATACATCAATTTCAATCAACTCAAAGGGTCGATTATACACTGTTTGTGATACATGAAATGACAGAACTCGACTTTTTTCCTATCTGAAAGGTTGCACAAACTTCAGTGTTATCTACATTTAGTTGTTTATTAAGCGTTGACTTCACCACCTCAGCTACAGGATGTCCTTGTCTTTTATGCCACAACCAATACTCATTGGTATATTTAACGGTTGTGTTATGAACATCTGTTATTTCTCCTAGAATTTGGCAATCAAAGCTATACAATCCTCCATCAAGCCTTCCCTCCAGCAGCACGACTCCTGTGCTTTCATCCTTAACATAGAAAAAATTGGCATGAAACTCAAAGTAGACTGAATTATCTTTAGTAAACTTTGAAACTGACAAAATATTCTTGGTTATTTTTGGAACATATAGCGTCTGATCAAGCAAAAGATCTCTAGAAGAAGTTTAAAAAAACATTTCGACCAATATGAGTAATTGCAACAGTTGAACCATCCCCTAAATAAACCTTACCACTGCCAGTGTATGCTTATTTGCTTGTGATAATAAAAGAAGTACCAGCTACGTGATGCGTGGCTCCTGAATCAAGGAACCATTTAGCATTATTCAGAGGACCATCAACCATCAAAGTATTGACTTGGACATTGTCAACTGACTCTATGTCAGAAGAGCCTTCATCTCCTGCATTTGTTCTTACAAAAGGAGTGTAATAGAAATCAGAAACATGAGGAAAACATGAACAGAAATTGCCATGTGCCTCAGAAGTTGAAGAATAATGTTGAGCAGTAACTCCCTTAAAATTTTGATCAAACCTATGTCAACACCTGTCAACAAGGTGACCTAGCTTCCCACAGAGTTGATATTACTGCTTGGGCCTACCCTTGTATCTGTTTCCAGTATTGTTGTTAGGTTTAGAACCCCCATGATGCTTGTGGTGCTGACAATCAGAGATCTGATTGGTGCTATAACGAGTGAAGTTTACCCCTATTAGAAAACGAAAGGAGTCATCAAAGCGTGATTCAACATCGATAAGAATTGATACCACGCTGTCCATGGTAAAGGGTTCTCTGCTCGCTGTGATAACATCAACGGTTGGCTCATATTCACCGGATAGACCATTAAGAATGGTAGCTATATGATCAATATCAGAAATAGGACTACCACATGTGGCTAGAAGATCACATATTTCTTTAATGACCATGGTGTAATCTCTCATTGATTGTGAACCTTTTTCATTAACCTAAGGCGACAATGTAAAGCCATAATTTTTGTAGTAAAAAGCTTGGAGTACAACCTGGTGATAGCACTCTAGACTGCTGTTGTGGATTCAGCACCAACCAACTGGGGTAAAATGTTAGGACTAATGGTTGAAATGAGCCAATAAGCCAAAGAGCTATCTTGCTTGACATAACACAAATAAGATGGGTTGATAATCTGCTCACCAGCATTGTTAAGAACCAACTTCACCGGAACCACCATGGATTCATCAAGAACACCTTCAAGACCAAGCCCTCGGATTGTGAGTATCACTTGTTTCCACAAAAGATAGTTCAAATCAGTCAAACCCACTTTGATCCTTTTGTTAGCAAAAATATGCGAGCTATTGTCTGTGAACTGTTCATCCTCAGCTATATCTGACATCGTCGCAGGTTGAACCATGATTGAACTAACAAGATCAAAGAAACCATAACCCAAGAAGCAAGGAAGAAGAAGAAAACAACCAACGCAAAATGAAACCGTTTCAAGATATGACATCGAATGATACCATGTTAAAGAGAGAAAATATACTGGAATATGTATCAACTTTTGTATTTCAATCATTGTGTTAATATACAAGAAATGGTAGCTATTTAAAGAGCTAAAAATGAGCTGGCTAAACCACCAATGAGATGTTGCAACAACATAACCAACTGAGAGGACACGTGTAAAGAACTATCACATGTCATTAACTGCCTAACCAAATATACTTTAACATTCATAACATGGTAAGTATGTATTGTGAGCTAGGATAGATTTAAGAATTGTTGAATGGACGATAAATGGTTTCAGTATTGATAGAATAGTATTGATACTATAAAGGGTTTTAAAAAATCGAGATAAAAATATTAAGATAAAATTGATTCTGTACAGAATAATATCAATATCAATGAGTGGGTATCAATATCTAGATTGATTGTATCGATGCTCGATCTTAACTTGTAAAATTCTAAAATGTCTTCTTAATACCAGCACTCGTTCTAATATTAATATTTAAATTATATAATATCGATACTCTACCTCCAATACCGATATTCAAAAGATTAGAGTGACTCGCAAGAGAGTCCTAAAAAATTAGAGTGACTCGCACTGAAACTTCGAAGAAATTGGAAGCGCCTTACGTGGGAGTCTTTTAACTGTGCTTCAACAAGTCCTTCATAAGGATTGAAGCGAATCGTGAATTAAGGCAGATAGGGTAAGAAAATCACCATGATGACCCTGAACAGAAGAATACCCTAAATTCTTTATCGTTTGTTTCTTTAGCTTGTAACATTAATGTTATAATATATATTACTATGAACTAATAACATAGTTATTGTTACCGGTATGATAATAAAATTTGTGTTGATGGTGTCTTTTTTAATAGTCCGAGATAATTAAAAATACGATATCTATTAATTTGAATCACATGAATACAATTTAAAAAAAACAAGATTCAGCTCATAATCCTGGACTGAAAAGGTCACCTTTTTTACAACAACCCCAGATCAGAGAATATTACCAATTAGAAATAAAAAAGATTTAAGTAAAAAGAACGAATTCAAAGCATCAACATCCGAATAAAAAAATAATAAAAGAAAGAAAAGATAAGGAAAGAAAGTGCCTTAGGAGAATCAGGTGAAGACTGAACACCCATTATGATGGGAAAGGGAAACTTGTTGAGAGAGAGAGAGACAAGACTCGGCCAGAGTAGGGAGGCGTACGTTAGTGGAGATAGTACGCGCTAACGTACGCGCGGAGGTGGCGTACCTTAGAGGACAACCGCTTGGTCGTTACTCACCGTGGTTTGCGTGGAGTTAAGCAATATTGGTTCTGATTGGGTGAGGCTTTACACGGGGCGATACGGTATTGGGTAGATTGGCTGTTGGTCCCTCATTTAATTCGGGAGTTAAATTGATTGTTTCGACTAACCTTATTTCCCTAACTTACCGGATGTGGTTAAAAAAGGGGTAAAACTACGAATAGTCCCTTTTGTTTTTTGTTTGATGAATTTTGGTCATCGATTTAAAAATTAAGTGTGTTTAACCTTTCGTTATCGATCCGTTTGATTTTATCCCCTTATTCGATAACTCCCATTAACTCATTAACGGAAACTTGAGCTGAAAATTAAAAATTAAAAAGTAATTCACTTGTCCTTTCTACTCACATATATATATAATAATTCTTCTTTCCATTAACCCACTTCCTTCCCGATGAAGAAGAAGAAGAAAATTCACAAAAATTATTTATTTCAACTTTTTTAAGAAGTAATTTAAAAAAAGGATCACTCAAACTGTACTTGTACCAAACAATATAAATCTAATATAAATAGACTTTCATACAGTTTTTCTTATTATAATATAGATAGTTCTGTAGTTCTGATTCTGGTGGCTAACGCTTAAGGTTAGATGTTCTTAACACGGTACGACTTAATTTCAATCAAATGTTCATACAGGTTTCTTTGATATGTTTTTTTTCTCTTTAAACTTGTACTGAGATTTTATGTATCCATGAATTTCTTATTTGAAACAAAGTATAAATTGTTTCTTGAATTATTCACAGTTATGATAAGTATTCACCCATCTACTAATTCCTCATGATAAAATGTTGAACTTATTAGATCAAAATTAAAGAGTTATGTTCAATCTTTTACAACTATAAACTATTATGGTTTATTCCATGAATCACAATACAAAACCCTCATTTATCATGAATTCCTGTACAGCTATGGCCTTGTTTGACACTGACCTCAGCAGACATGGATGGAAGCTCTACTGGGTACTCAAATACCATCACCTCCTCAGCATAGTGGAGCTAGCAGTGGGACAAACATCCAACACCTTGTCTTTTTTCCTACATATCTGAACTAACACGAACAATATCCAAAAAGATCTCGAAAAACCCCGCAAACAATATCATATGTTTGGATGAAAAGAGCATTCGAGATATAGAACGTTTTCGTGACCAGTCTTTCTGTTGCAGCAAAATATTCTGGCACTTAGGCACCCTCCAATGCTTCAATATCTCCATTTTCAGTGGCCATTCGATGCAAAAGGGCCTTGAAAATTGAAAAGACAGCAACCAATGCAATCTCCACATGATCAGAGCTACTCATTTTCACACAAACTTGCCCCATTTTCTGGCTATTTATATTGCCATTAATAGCAAGCCGCATACCTCGAATCGGCCTAAACTCGGACTGGAAACCACCACCAAGTACTGTCTCTTTTTTAAATGAGAGAGCTGTCATAGTCAGGCTAAGATGATCGTTTCTCACAGGGTAGTCCCTCCCCCTAAAAGAAGCTTCAAAATTCCCACCGTATGCCACTTGTCTAGAACCCTCTATTAACCCAGTATTCATAACAAACTTCATTCTCTTCCCCACCAAGATGGTTTCCTCAAGCTTAGCACCAACATAATACTTGTTTCGAAATGATGTCACAGAGAGTCCACAATCAGTGAAATTGTGCTTGAGGCTCCTCAGCTTTGCATTGCTGTGGACATTATACATAAGATCTTTACCAGTAGACTGAACATCAAGTCCTAAAGAATAAGTTGGCCAGACAGGATCTGCATATGCTACTGCACATTCAGAATGAATACTGAAATTGCGCTTGTCCTTGCTCATCTGTCCTGCAATTGAAGCAAAAACTTTCTTTTTCACTTCCAAAGCTGTCTCCAAGTTTATTCCATCAAATCCAACATCGTGATCCCATCCATGGGGATCGAGAACAGGTCTCGCAAGCCATAAGTCATTTGTGACAAGGCAGCGGTATCTGTGTATGGGGCAATCTGAGTCAAAACTTGGAGGGACTGCCATATCCGGTAATTGGACAGCCTCTGGAGCTACCTTGTTATCAGTATCATCACCATCATTACCTTCAGAGCTCTTCTCTTTGGAGAGCTTGCCCTCCTTCCGTCTAAGGCACTCTTCTTTCAACTGTTTCTTCAAATAAAGAGTCTCTCTGTATTCCAGCTCATCAAGATAGGATTTTTTCAGTGATTTAGTCAATTTTTTAAATTGAGACTTCGTCAGGATTTGAATTGAAGGCAATTGATCATACTCCTCTTCTGCTTCCTCTGAGAGCAGAATCTCATCAAGTTCACTTTCTGGTTCAGCTGGATTTGATACTGACCGATGCTGTAGAAAAGTTGAGAGAAGATGAGGCAGAGAAGGCAACTGATTGTTACTTAATTGTCCTAATTCATTACTGTCTTTAAACTCCAAGAGCTTGTTGGCATCACCAAGAACCTTGGTACATATGCATAATAAAAAGAACCGAGATTTCCAAACCTGTCCATTTGGAAGTATGCTTTGCCCTATGAAATTTCTTTTGCACTGAGGGTCATTTTCCACTAAAAGTAAAGGGTTTTCAAGCCTTGAATCAGATACTGCCAGGTGTATATATTGCTGCACTAAATCAGTGCAATGGTTCACATAGGATTCATAATTGACAGGATACCCGTTAGGTCCTTCAGGAAGTGCTGAAGAAGAATGTGTCATGACAAGGATAGTGTTAAACCAAATTGCATTACCAAAAACTTCAGTCATAAGCTTCAAAAGGGGGAAATCACTATAACCCATGTTGAGGAGGTCAAGCCGCTCAAAGTATAAAACAACATCTGGTGGGGATCTTCTAATGAATTTCTTCACAGACAGCATAATTTTCCTATTCCTTCTCATTGTACTAGTAGATGAAGGTAGAAAACCAGGGGTATCAATGAATGTTACTTTAATCCCATGAACAGTTCCCGTGACCTCTCGAATGCAATCAGTGGCAGGTTGAAATGCACTGGTCTCAGTTTTAGGTTGATCAAACACAGAATTTATGGTTGCACTCTTGCCAACTCCTGTTTTGCCGAGGACAAGTATTTTAATAGAGAAATCTAACCCTTGGAGACCAGATGCCTCCCGTTCCCTTGCTATTGTTTTGGCTCTCTCATTTCTTAAGTTCACTCTTTTTAAATCTGATTCCCCTGCTCGTATCAATGTTGCCAGGTGCATCCTATATAAAACTTTTGCCACCAGAAGATTATCATGAGGTTGCCCCAAACGTTGGAGAAGACGCAAGAATGTAATTTGGAGTTTCTCAATCTTAGCCAATGGGTCCATCTTTTTTCTACTAGGACCACTATGTGATAGATTAGAACCTTCAACTACGACTTGCTGCCGTGAAATAAAAGGGTCATTATCATGAATATTACCAGAAGAGGATGATATATAAGGAGGCACAGACAATGCTACCGAACTGCTGGTCTGAGATGAACCTAATGAAATAAAAGACAGTTACAATAAAGATTTGATTCTAAGCAGAGAAACTCCTAGCTATTAATCTGCCAACTGCCAAGTAATACGTGAAAGAGGCAGCTCCAAGATATATAATGTTGCATTTGATTTTTTTTTTTTGCAGTTAGATAAGCAAGCTTTCTTTTCTCAAGGTTTAATTTATTCAAATATGCTTCTCCATTCAAGTACCAAGGTCGAACATTTAGTCATGTAATTTAGAGTACCCCTTGAAATCAGAACATTCATACAGATATTAAATCACGATTTTATCTACAAACTTACCCACACTTTCACTTCAAGAAATTTGGTGAGAGGGTCAAAAGTACTACCAAATATATGTAGGAAAGGGGAGAAGCTAGTACCTTGATCTTCTGATTCAAATTCTTGAGACGAAGGAGCCTCAGGAAAGAAACCACCGCTGCCGGACAGTGGTCTAGAAGAGGCCAAAACTTGAGTGAAAACCCAGTCTCTAATACCTTTCATCCTTCCTGAAATTTCACCAAAGGGCTCAGCTTATCGTTTATATGCTAAGCCTCATGTCGGTAATAGCATGAAAAAATCCTCACCATAAATCACAAGCTGGAATTAAAAAAAGAAAAACACTCGTTTCCAAATAAATTTTTAAAAATTATCAGCTCATTCGAGTAAATTTAAGATTCCTGTAAGACAAAATTACAAAAAAAATTCAATTGGAACAAAAATTACAGAATGAATCAAAGGAGAAACATTGCATCACAGAAATAAGAAAATAAAAACAGTGGGAATAACTTCATACCCAAAATGAAAAATAAATTGAGGCGTGAACAATACCCAAATTCAATCTCCCTGTCCGACGAAAAGAAAAGGCCCAGCTAACATTTGACGAAAATCAACAAAATCTGCAACGGATTCGATTCGGCCGGAGCAGCTCTGAGATAGCGGTATCAGGCCTATTTTATTTTATTTATTTGTTTACAAAATTGAAATCAGAAGGAAGAGTAGAGGGCGAAAAGAAGCGGCTGTGAGAGGAAGAGAAATCAGATAAGACAGACAGCTAATCAGTGATATCCAATTTCCCAATTTTGATTTTTCTCTTATTTTCTTATGCCCTAGGCCTTTTCTTCGCTCGTAGTAATTGGGCACCGCAATCGAGTACGACCGGGACTATCGTGCTTCACGAGATTGATTCATTTTCCAAATGATTTTGTTGGGCTTGGAATTTTCTTTTTGGTTCCTAAATTTGGATTTTGTGTTTGGTTTAAATATTGTATCTATACAGAGGTTTGTTAATATTTTTTTTATTAAAATAGGTGATTATGTTTTAAATACTTTCAACTCGTTAATAATGAATATAATAATGAATATGATTCTTTTGATCATTGACATAATTTTGCTGACCTTGTTGAAAGTAACACAATAAGTGTACCAACTGCAGGGTGGGCTGCGATCAAGTTCAAGGTAGATAGTCCAGGTGCCCTTGAAACCATAGATATTATAATGATTGTTTGAATATTGTTAAAAAAACAGAACACGTTGAAACATTATAATTTGGTGGTGTTTTTTTTTTTGTAGGGGTCTGATTTTTTCATTGTCATTTGGAAGTTCACACCACATGGGGGTTTAAGATGGCGTTCCCGGTCAAGAACGGCAAGGGCCCGAACAAAATATTTTCACTGCTAATCTTGCTAACCAAATACAAGCCAAAGGACCAGCTGGTTTCACGCTAATGAGAGATGCTGGAAATGCGGTTTTAATGGTTTTTGAAGATTCCGATTCGTTGAGATTAGTGAAGGATGAGAAACTAGAGACTCTTGCAGAATGGTTTTCCAGAGTAGAAACTTGGTTAGAGAGCCTAGTGGTGGAGTGCCGTCGCGTCTGGTTAGTTTGTGAAGGTATTCCTTTTCAGGCTTGGAATTGGAATACTTTCAAAAACATTGCATCTAAGTGGGGCAAATTAGTAGCAATCGACAACAGTTGTGAGTTCCCATCATATTTTGATCGGACTAAAATTCAAATACTCACAAAGGCTCAAGGGAGACTTTGATGAGTTGTTGGAGTTGAAGGTCGGTGATAATTTGTTCAAAATCATGGTGCACGAAGTTGATCCTTCCTTCAAACCTAACTCTTGGGTCCCCGAAGATTACGATATTTCATTAGAACTTGTTCCTACAATTGGTTCTTAATTGCTCAACAACTGTATTCAGAGGCATTTATTTTAGTTTTTGGTTGTAAATGCTGGTTTTTATTGTATTAGAAGGTGTTGTTAGATGGGTTAATAGGACAGATTGGTTGTACTATTGTTTTAGTTTATGAGTGGTTTAGGGTTGTTCCATGTTTATCTGTTTCTGTTAAGGGTGTTTACCAGGTTGTATCTTATGTAATTTCTTATGTTCAATAAAATCCTAAGACACTATTTTTATTCTTCCGCTGATTAAGGAGCTACCCTACTAGCTCTATTAATCAAGAAGGAGGTTTTTAACGAGACCTGAAATTCTTATAAAAAAAAAAGCTAAGGTTTTGCATATGGTTGTTAAAGAAGGTGTGGATTCCATGGTTTTTGTTGGTGGGATCATCAAGAAGAAGAAGAAGGGTTAAAGGGAGGTAATTGTCATGTCAGATAAAATTAACATAAGGTAACGTCAGAGATCGTATTGAAAACGAACTAAAAGTTTAGTGACTAAATTATAATTTTTAAAAGTTGGGTGATGAAAATGCAAGAGCCCTAAACGTTTGCTGATCATTTATGTAGTTTACCCATCTTAATATTTTCTTTGAAAATTTAGTATTGTTCATTTAAACAAAAGGGATTTATATCTATATTAGTATAAGAAGGTTTAATGATTTATTTGGTCTTTAAACAATATTTATTTTATTATTTATCATATTGTTGAAAAATGATAATAATAAAAATAAATTATTTGTTTACTTTCAATCAATTTTTGATTTAAAATTCGATAGATGTTTGATTTTAATTAAATTCAGATAAAATAAATTTAGTTTACTTTCGATTTAAATTATTTTTGTTTCAGAATATTTTTAGTTTAGATTATTTTAAAAATAAAGTTATTCACAATCGAGCAGATTTATGACATTGCTATCTTAAGGACTTGTCTCCGATGCAAAAATAAATGGTCGGTTGCAATCAGCTCAACAAATGAATTCGTTCGAGTTCCACATATGGTAAGCAGCATCAAGGTAAAACACAGGTAGCTTAAATCGGAATGAAGGGTGATCGAAGATTAACACGAATATGTTCGTACATGGTTGTCCCTTGTTCCCATATGTAATGGGATAAGGGGAGGTATGATAGTAGGCTGCCCCCAACACTAGGTTGAGAACAGCTTCCGTAGGAGACCTCCAAATTATGAAATGCCCTCCATGGGACTCGATCCCACGACCTCAAGATTAACACGAATATGTTCGTACATGGATATCGATTAATTTAAGTGGCTTTGGCGGCATGAGTGAAAATAACTCAGAGGACCTTAAGAAATTTCAAACATTTACATTTGGACTTGGTGACCATACATGTTCATTTTTTATCCAATTGAAGCCTTTATCATAGAATACAAAATAAAAATATGATGAGTGATTTATTTTTGTTACTATTGTGATGTTAGTTACTTATTGTTATCTCTTTGATATTTCTGATTTGGGGTGTTTTGATTCATTTTCTATTCATACCTTTAATTTCCGTAAACAACATTAAATAAGCAAAGTTCTACAGTTTTTTTATTTTGGAGTCGAGGCTGGACACGCGAGCATGACTTGGGGCATGACAATGTCCGACGTGGCATATTCTGACAGCCCAATCAATAGAAGCTTCCAAAAGACGATTCAGTCAACATAATCTAAAAGGACAAACATATGACTTAGATTTAATTTGAATTTGAATTTGGGAATTATCACTTGTTTATCTTTAGGGTTTTAGCTATTTTCAATTTATTTTTAGGGTTTTAGAAAGCTATAAATACCATCTCAGAATAAAACTTGAAACATACTTAGATTTAGCTTTGTTCTTTGCTTTTTACTTTTAATAAAGTTTTCTTATTTTCTTCTCTTTCGTTTTACTTTTAAGTTTTTATTTACTTTCTTTAAAAATACTAAGTATGATTTCTATCATGCTTAGCTAATTTTTCAATAAGCCAAAGGCTAAAGCGATGACTCAATTTCAATCGTGAGAATTGAAAAACACCTAATATCTTCGGATATAACTCTCAATTTTCTATAAACTTGGATTGGCAATTAGCCTTTCCTTTAAAATCTCAACACTTTCATTTCAAAAAGTCGACGTTGGTTTGATTGTTGTTCCGATTTAAAGTTGGGAGGAAGGATCACCTTGTAGCACATTCGACTTTCTGTGAAAACACTTAGCGATGTTCGATAAGGAAATTGAGATCGGGTTCGATCCTCATTGAAACAACATAACTTGAGTTGGGCTTTTCCAAAACTTAAACTATATTGTTGCCAGTGACGATAGTCGTGATTAGTACAAATAAGGACTTCCAAAGATTGACTTTGGATTGTTGGTTTATCGGAGAGAAAAATGAGTTACAAGGGTTTGACCTTGTAGACTATAACCGATATTTATTCGGAATAGAAATCCTCTTTGATGCAATTAAAATTGAGGCAAAGTGAGGTCTAAGACTGTTTTACTTAATTGAATTTCTTCTAAAAATTACTTTCATTATTTTTCCTAGATTTAATTTGTCACCATCATTTTTATTTTTACATGTATTTCTTGTTCCTCTCTTTCAATCAAAACCCCCCATTTTCTTTACCTTTTTACCAAAATCAAAACCAAAACCTTTTAATATCAGAATCTTCAAAGTCTATGCGGATCGACCCTTTATTCTTTATACTATGTTTGTAGTTTATTTATATGAAAAAACACTTATTTATTTGAGAATATACTATGCTTGTCACAATGTCCAAATTAGAGTCCACGTTACAAAATGCCAAAACCAATACCAAAGTATCCTATTACCCAAATTAAATTTATAAGTCCATTAACCATTTCAAATAAACCCATTACACAACCCAAATTTTCATACCCATTACACAAAACATAAATATATATATTATAATGAATTATTTATATTATAGATTATTAGATTTTGTATTTCAAACTTTTAAATTTTGTGTTCGGATGTTGTAGTATGTAATTCGAAGTTTCAAACATTTAAATTTGTGTATAGATTTTTTTTTTAAATTAATAATTTGAAAATGAAAAAAAAATGGGTACATGGTACCGAAATACGGGTACCTGTAAAATCAACATCCGGATAGAGACACGAGCTGAAAAATCACCGACTCAGTTACGGGTACCCGGATTTGCACACCCCTAAACTAAACGGTAGGAGAAGAGCACGTCTTACCAACTAAGCTAACCCTGACTTTTGGTTTTTAGTTTGCACAATAGTATATATATTAATGCCAAAAAAAATGGAAAGGAAAATGGACATGAAGATATTCGAACCTAGGAAACTCTAAATCATTAAAGTAAATCTTACATTTGTATAATAGTTGAATAGATTTTATATATATTTTAAATACTAACTTATACAAAATTAAAATAAAAATTAAATTTAAGATTTATATATTTTCAAATTAAATTTAATATTTCTTTTTTATTCACGCTTTTAATTTAAATATTGTATATGATATAATTAAAAGATAAAATGTATAGAAAATATAAATGATTTAATTTATATTTGAACGAAAAAATCAATTGTATTTTATAAATATTTTATTTTTATTGTATACATTAAAATCAATTAATTTAAAATTATTTATAATCCTTAAATTAAAAATGTAAGTAAAATATTGTCATATTTGATTTGAAAATATATAAATCTTAAACTCAATTTTCTTTTGATTTTATATGAATCAGTGTATATATATATATATAATCTATTAACTATTATACAAATGTAAGATTACTTCAGTATTTTAGTGTTCCTAATTTATTTGATTTAGTCTAGCTTCGAATCTCTTCATGTACATTTCCCTTTCCATTTTTCTAGCATTGTCCATAATATAACATATATATACTATTCTGTAAACCTTAAACTAATAATGGGGGTTAAATATTAATGTCGGGTGATTTGTTTATTTTTCTTTGTTTAAGAAAAATAATTAAATTAAAGCTAGTACTAAATTTATAGAATATATATTGAATAAATTTAAAGATTAGTGGTAAAAGTAAAAGGGATAAATAATTAAGTGATCAATGATATAATATACCCAACTTTGAATCAATCACTGTCTTCTTTAAAAAAAATCAAATAAGATCCGAGAACTAATCTGATTTACTCTTAAGTCAAGGTCTTATAAGGAATGCTTTTACCTTCAATTTCCACGAAAGCTGATTAGAAAGCTATAACTATAGACAAATCCGATGGCTCACAGTTTCTCCCACTTGACGTTGAATGGATATTGCCATGGAATTCTACGGTAACCCCACAGCTTCTGGTTTTGGACTTTACACCGCTCTCCGCATATTTTTTTTAATATTATTTAATGGCGATGATTAGGACTTTTAGAAGTTTCTGTTGAATGTATTCAACAAAAACGACTTGTAGGAATCTTCGTGGGTCCTATGTGATGCATTTCGTGGAAACAGGGCTGCCTGCTTTACATGCACTGGTGCTAGTATTAAGGGCCCAAGGCTGCAGTAGTTGCATAAAACCATAATTAATATTGAGTGGTCTCTGAGTTTTAGGGATGAATTCGAAGGGTTGGAAACTGATGTGGGTGGTGTTCTTCTTAGGAGGGTGGTGGTTGTTTCGTTGTGATGGGTGCTGGGATGACGAGAAAACTGCTCTCATGCAACTCAAGCCTTACTTCAGTGAATATATCGATGGTGTAAACAAATGGGGAGAGGGAGATGGAGATTGTTGCAAATGGGAAAGGGTTGAATGTAATAACTCCACTGGGCGAGTCATTCGACTTTTCCTTAATATAATCGATTTTCGATCCGTACACGGTTTCTTTGATGATTCTATGGCGGAAGATGCAGTTTTGGGTTGGGGAGAGAGGGAGCAATGGTATCTCGATCTCTCTTTGTTTCTTCCCTTTCAGGAATTGAACACTCTTTATTTGGGCAGAAACAGTATAGCTGGTTTTGTTCACCACCAAGGTTCTTTCACTTTTACTTTTATTTCCCTTCTACGAATCCATTATTTAACTGTCTTATTTTATTTATAATTATCTTGATCTTTGTAGGAGAACCCACACTACCCAAACTAGAGACACTTGCTTTAAGTTATAATCTCTTCAATACCAGCATATTCTCGTTCCTTGGTGTACTCTCAAATTTGAAGTCTTTGGGTATAAACCATAACCAATTGGAAGGGGCTATACATATTAAAGGTACTTTTGTTAAAACCTTTTCCCCCTCACAATAAAAGTTTAAAAGATTTGATTGTGTTTCATATGATTTATTAATACTTAATGTTATTGGTATTTCTCTCTGATGTTCAGAATTAAATGCTTTGAGCAACTTAGAAGAATTGTTCATGTCGGGAAATAAAGTGACCGACTTTGTTCCATCCCAAGGTACTATACACGTCTATTTAACTTTATTAGTTTATGCTATTCAAAAATAATAATTAGTCGCACGAACCAAGTGAACTTCGTGAGAAATGAATTGCTGATTTTCTTTGAGGATCCGGGTGGGTGTGTTTACCACATATATGTCTACGCAGTTGGTGTGTTTACCACCAAATTAATTCTAAGCATGATTAATTAATTAACAGAAAACAAGCCAAATGAAGGTTATAACCTATTAATTGTGAGTGGTAATGAAATATATTATTATACAGATAATGAAACTCAACTAAGGTTGATGAACCTCAAAACACTTCGTTTGGAAGACAACCACTTCAACAGTAGCATATTGGCATCCCTTGGTAGGCTTTCGAATCTCAAGTCTTTAAGTCTTGGAGGCCCCAATTTCACGGGATCAATACATCTTACAGGTAAAATTATCTCCTCCCTCCCTCCTGTATTAGTTTGTATTAAATTAAAGTCAAGAAAATAACGTTTAGTTTAATTTTAAACAAAAGCATTTATGATTTTCATCAGAACTGAATGCTTTGACCCACTTGGAGTTGCTGTCATTATCTTGCTCTTCTTCACTCACAGACACAGGTATTGCTAATCCCACACTTGAATCTTATTGAATTAATTAGGTGGTGGGGAAAGCCTTTTATGTACCTACACAAATGTATTGGTTGGTGTGTGCAGATAGCAATTGTGGCCTTCCACTACAATCACTGGCCTTATTCCCTTCCTTGAACACTGTTCGTTTGACAGGATTTAATGTTGAAGGAACCATAATGGCTTCCCAAAGTAAGTTTGCAAATGTGGATTAACATTTTTTGTCTCGAACTCTTTCTTATTTTCACATATTTAGATTAATCGCTTTTTGTTGAATGGGTAGATGAATATCAGAATAATTTTACAAACTTGGAAGAGTTATCCGTGGGTTATTCTTTTCTCCAAACCAACATTCTTGGAAGCATTGGACAATTTACTTCTGTCAAGCGTTTGAAATTGTATAAATGTGAGATGAATGGAAGCCTAAATATCCTTGAAGGTACGTCATTTACTTCTTCTGCACTATAACATAGTATCAACACTCTATTTGAATAGTACTAACTCATATAGTCTTCTGCTTCTTTTTCTTGTATGGGATAAACAGGTTTGTGTGAAATGACGAATCTTCAACAGTTGAGTCTCAATTTTAATAATTTCAAGAGTAGCCTGCCGGAGTGCTTCTCTAACCTCACATCCCTTCGAAACTTGGATCTTTCTCGCAATCAATTTTCTGGAAATATATCTGTCCTTGAGAGTCTAACATCTCTTAAAACGTTATATCTCTCTTCCAATCAATTTTCTGGAAATATAGATGCTCTTAAAAGTCTAACATCTCTTGAAACATTAGTTCTCTCTTCCAATCAATTTTCTGGAAATATAGATGCTCTTAAAAGTCTAACATCTCTTGAAACATTAGAACTCTCTTCCAATCAGTTTTCCGGAAATATTGATGCTCTTAAGGGTCTAGCATCTCTCCAAGACATGTGGCTATCAAATAACAACTTTCAAATCCCTGTCTCATTGGGACCCTTGTTCAACCTTTCAAAACTCAAGGGCCTATTTGCGGATAACAATATCATGTATGGTGAAACTCATGTACCTTCTTCGTCCCCAAGGTTCCAATTGAAAGCCATTAGTTTGTCGTGTTGTGGAGAAGCTGAGTCGTTTCCTGAATTTCTCTACCATCAACATGACTTGATGTCTTTTCATCTCTCTAATATATTCTTCAAAGGAAATCAGTTCCCAAATTGGTTGCTGCTCAACAACACAAAATTAGAGTCTATATATCTCACCAATACCTCTTTGTCTGGATCACTTGAGCTACCATTAGCTTCACATATACATTTTTCATATTTAGACGTCTCCAACAATTTCTTCAATGGCAGCATCCCACCAGAAATCGGAGAGCAGCTACCATCGTTGGTGTTTCTGAACATGTCAAAAAATCATTTTATTGGTACCATTCCCTCCTCTCTCGGTCATATGACTTCATTGAGAGTCTTGGACTTATCCGACAATAAACTTGAGGGCAAAATTTTCTCTGGAAATTTTAAATTACCAAACTTGAGAGTGTTGAAATTGAATGGAAATAACTTCTCCGAAAGGATCCCTGATTTGTTGTCCAAGAGCCTCCTTTTGTTAGCACTAGATATTAGCAACAACAAACTTTCTGGTAGGATCCCAAAGTGGTTAGGAAATATGTCTTCTTTACAAAGAATTATTTTGTCCAATAACCATCTAGAAGGCACAATCCCTATCGATTTTTGTCAACTTGATCTTATTGTACTTGTTGACCTCTCCGTTAATAATATCTCAGGGAGTATACCATCTTGTTTCAACCCTTCTAAGATCATACAAGTTCATTTGGCTAAAAATAGGTTACGAGGAACTTTACCGGACGCGCTTCGTAATAGCTCTACCTTGGTGACACTGGATATCCGAGAGAACTTATTGAGTGGCAACATTCCGAGTTGGATTGGTGGACTTTCGAACTTGAGTTATCTTCTGTTAAGCCACAACAACTTACAAGGGAAGATTCCAATGGAGTTATGCAAGTTGAATCACTTGAGTGTGATTGATCTTTCTCATAACAATCTTTCTGGTCAGATTCCCCCTTGCCTAAATCTTACCACCCTAGGGGATCTAGACTATGTTAATGCCAGGATGATTGGCTCTAGCATTTTCTCGTTGAATGTACCAATAGATTTTTCAATGAAAAATGGTCACAAATCTTACAGGGGAAGAATCATACCACTGGTATCTGGAATCGATCTTTCTTGCAACAAACTGGTCGGTGAAATTCCTCCTCAAATTGGACACTTGCACAAGATACTTGGTTTGAATCTATCTCACAATAGTTTGACAGGACCAATCCCACCAGCATTTGCTAATCTCAGGCAAATTGAAAGTGTAGATCTTTCCAACAACAAATTGAGTGGGAATATACCTTCTCAACTTGTGGGGTTAACTTTCATGTCTACTTTCAATGTGTCGTTCAACAACTTATCTGGAAGGACACCATCAAGAGTTGCACAATTTGGGACATTCGATGAATTCAGCTACTTGGGAAATCCTTTTCTTTGTGGTGAACCATTGCCAAAGTGTGCGGATACTGGATCATCACCACCAAAGCCAAATTCATCAACCGACAATGATGGAGAACATGGTTTAATCGACATGGGGGCGTTTCGTGTGACTTTCATCGCGTCTTACACGGTGATGTTGTTGGTTGTTCCTATTGTGTTGTACATAAATCCCTATTGGAGACGAGCTTGGTTCTATCATGTAAAGACCGCTGCCACTTTCTGCTACTATTTTGTGCTAGACAATGTTCTCCCCAGACGGTTTTATTGTAGAAATTTGTAATGGAACAAAATATGCATTCAAATGTATCCAAATAAATTTGGGGGGTTTTCCTTTTTGATTTCTTGATATTTATATATGTTGGGATCTCGAATAAAATGACTAAGATATTATATGGTGTTTGTGCAGCCCTATATATATATATACACTAAATAGGTCCTAATTTTTGCCTCAATATTTCATGTATATACCAAGCATAACGTGATGAATATTTTCTTCTATTTATTATATGAACTAGCATTATAGGTATTTATTACATGTTATATTAAAATGACTGTAATATATATGAGTTTAACCGATATTAAATATTATAAATTATATATATTATAAATTATATATATATATATAATCGCATTTGCATTTGCATGTGTTCTTTTGAATGTATTAATCTAGGTTCAATCATTTATTTGAGTATGTGACGCTCTTTAGTTAATATGCATGATACCCTCATGAGCATAACTCGATTCGAATAATTGGATTAAGGGTAATTCTCTTTCATTTAGGATTGTTGTGAAGTGACTGTTTTAACTTATAAGAAATTTATTTCCAATGATTTTAAAATGAAAGTGTATCTCGTTAAATGAAACCCTAAAATTTAACCGCACCTAAAATTTGAGAACGAGAAAAAAAGAAATGTTCATCTATTTAAATTATTCAAGAAAATATCGTTAGAACTTATAAAAGGTCCGATTTAAATGTCTTTAAATAATCGAATATCATTATTCTTTCTAGAAGGATTGGTAATTTCTAATTTAACTTGTTTTATTTTATCATTGTTCGTGCAATTTGACTCAATAATGAACTTTATGATATAATTGTAATATTTTTTTATTTCGATTGGAGTAAGAATTAACTGCTTTAGGATATGAGATTTCATTTCTTCTTGATAGGAAATAATTAAAATATTGTCGTTTTCCATCCTAAAATTCAAAAATAAAAACTATTTTAAGGGATCTTAAATTAAATTGAATTCGAACTTGTAGATTTAATTGCAAAGATAATTAATTAATCGACTATGTACCGATTTAGTGCGCTGTGGGGGTGCTAATCTTTCCCCACGCGTAATCGACTCTCGAACTCAATTTTCTGGTACGCAGACTTTAAAACGTTGTTTTAATAATTTTTAAATTAAACCTTATTAAAATGACAAAACATTTTGGATGCCCAATCACACTCTAATCAATGATTGGTGGTGACTCGCCGAACCATTTTTTTAACTTTAAAAAAGAAACACCAAATTAATCGAGATAAGATTTTTTGTTAAACCATAATTAATTAAAAATTAAATTTGTTTTTTTTAAAAAAAAAAATCTTTTCGACATTACGATTATTTTCTAAGTTAGAGAGTCATATTATAAAAAATATAGTGGTCACATTAATTTTTTTTTTCAAAAGCACGAAAATGTCTGATACTTTTTGCCAAGAATATTCTTTCAAAATAAAAAATCAACTATACTCCTGTTAACTCAATTATCTTCGAGTTATACAATTCTTGAGATCTCCCTCAAGTGGAAGTGATACTTAAGTATCGTCCATCAATTAAGATTGTAATTAAGACTTAAACCCTTCTGATTGCAATGGAACTATTACTTTACCCCTTTTTTTGTAGAACTTCTAATCAATATCTGCTTTTAGGGTCCAACATATCAACAATATACGATCATTTGAGATTATTATTTTATTTTAAAAATATACAAGAAAAAATTAAAATTCATATAGGGAGTTTCACTTTCCTTTTCAATGATAATTATAATCAATATACGTCAAAATTGTACGAATCAAATAATTTTAGTGACAAAGAGATTTATTATTCTTCCTAGAGGTACTGAATTTGAGCACCAACAGAGTATAAATGTTCATTGTCAATTGATTAAAAACCCTTAAACATATACCATATTATATTAATAAAAAATATACATAAAAATCAATCTTGATAAATATTGAACCGAATGATGAATGATCTGTAAAGTAATTCAATTTTATTTATTAAAATATTTTCAGTTTCCCCCAAAATTACATTTTATTTTGTTCAAGTTTTTTTTATTAATTTGATGATAAGTTATTACGGAGATCACTTAGTTCGTATTTGTTCAAAGATCTAAATAACGGTTAACAACTGCAATAATATCCGTGATATTACGATAATGGTACCGTCTATTACTATTATTATATGACCATGATATTAAAATAGTGTCTGTTATATCTACAATCACGATAATCTCAATAAAAAAACGTTACTGCATGTTAAATCCTTAATTTCGTTACTTAAAGGCCCAAAAGGACCGTTTAGGATGAATCGATGCAAAAGCTGATATTATTAAAGTATTTAAAAATAAAATTTATATTTACGATAAAGTTTTGTTAAATTAATAAAATAATAAATAATAACTCGAAATATAAAATATCAATATCCGAGGGTGGGCTAACCCTTAACATGGTTTAGTTTAGATGGGTTGCATAAATTATTTCAATTTTCAATAACTATTTGATTGCTTTTTAACAAATTTGCACTTATAATAAATAAATTCATCCTTATACTTTAAGGTATATCTTTATTCGCTTTACCTCAAAAAGAGATTGATATTTTTGCTCTGCATGTGTCACGTCTTGTCAAAAAGTATATGATATTTAAATTATTATTATTATTTTATTTACTGAATATTTTTTATAAAATATATAATATATCAAAATTATCTTTCGAAGGTCATACTGTGCAAAATAAAGAATACTAGACCTGTAAGTTTTAAACACAAGTATCATTTTTCATGCTGACGTGTAGCCTAATACTTATCTCTTTTTTGCTACAAAATATCTATCTTTTCATACATATATTAACTCAACAGTCTACAGGGATGACATCTGGGGCAGGTAAGCATTGACCTAAAACAGTGAATTTACGGTATAGTTTTGTTATTAAAAATTAGGATAAAGTACATAAATGGTCTATTGATTATATGATATTATTTTTTTGAGTCCTTTGATTATTAATTGTTATAAAATGATCTTATTAATGTAGGTCATAACTTTGTTGAATCAATGAATTATTAAAAGTTACAAAATTGTCATATGACTATTTATTATGTTTCAAACTCATCCTTTTTTTATAAAAGAATTGTCGGTTGTTTGAGTTGTATGTCAAGAATGTTGACTGAGATCTGATAGTCGTTTGAGATTATGAGATTATATTTTATCATATCTTAGTCAGTAGGTTAACGTCCAGCTTATATTATCATTATTTTTTAACGGAAAATGATGAATTTGGAACATAATAAATTATTAAATGATCATTTTGTAACTTTTAATAATCAAATAACTTAATAAAGTAACACTCTATAATCGAGAGATCATTTTACAACTTTTAATATTCTAGACTCAACAAAATAATATCTATAGTCAGTTCATCTGTATACTTTAACCTAAAAATTATGAATGTAATTGCCGACATCAATGTTTAAAACAAAACATTGTTAAAATGGTAGCAAATCCAATCTTTGATCCTTTCTTGTTATTTTCTGTTTATTTTAAAATATATCATTGTCATTTGGTGCCCACTATACCTTAAAAATTCATATATATATATAAAATGTTTTTCCTTATTGGATCCAAAACAGAATGACAAATTAACAAATCTGAACTTTGTAAATATTGTAATTTTTAACCATTAAATTGATTTGACTGGATCATTAGGAAATACATTCCCACTCACATGCAACGAATGCGGCACGTAGGCCCTCAATAGCCCAAAATTCAACGGGGATCTCCACTTTTGTAATTTAGGGGATGAGCAGTCTCATGCCAACATTATTTCATGGTGTAGATGGCAATGAAGAGTTTGAAGATGGTCGATAGGCTTCTCTTCCAAATCTAGCAAATTAGGACGACATTGGATGCTGTGTACGGTTTAATTGGACTCAAACTGATGAAAGATGGAGAAATGTTTTTTTAGAGTGAATATATATATTAATTATTAAAATATTTCGTATGATGGTTATAAATAAAATTTTAATATGAATCTCTATAGTAAAATAGATAATTAATATAAAAATTTTAAATTTTAAAATGGACACTTATACACCCTAAATATACTTTGCATCCGCCATTGATACTGACAACACGAGAAGCATGCTAGTACGAAGACCTTAATGACGACAAATCAAGAAAAAATCTGAATAAGAAAGAAGAGAGAAGATTCCATGTGGTTGAAATAGGGAAAAATGAGAAAATAAAAAATATATAGATATCTTAAATTTAGAGTTAATTATTTAGTTTGTCCCAATATTTTTGAGAATTCACGAATAATCATCAAAGATTAATAAAAATTTCAATTAACCCTTAAATCTTAAAGGTTTAAATTTTAATCCCATTTCATGTGCGGTTGTTGTATTTGAAGTGTTACATATTTAAATTTTTATTTCATTAGTTAAAAAGAGTATTATTCTTCTTAGAGATTTTAAGTTCAAGTTGTTGTGTTTGCAGCTATGTGTAGGGATGGGCATGGGTCGAGTTGGATAAGGTTTTCGGCTAACTCGACCCGAATTTTGAGATAAAACTCGACTCTAACCCAACCCGAAATAACACAAAATTCTTAATTTTATTTAATAACTAGGGACTTAATAAAAAATAATATAAAGAGAGATATTCTTGCAATTATTCCTAAATATATAAAATATTTTTATATTAATTTTCAGATCGATCAGATTTTTCACCTTAAACCCAAACTCGAATTTTAAAAATAATTCAACCCAATTTGCCTTACATCGTCATTTTTATCGTTTAGTTAAATATAAAATGGATGTGATAAACAATAACCTATAAACTTCAATAGAAATTCGTACAAAAGGAGGTTTGCTAGGAGGCCGCCATCCACTTTGGGTGAAGGGTCCAGATCTCATCTCCCTCCACATATTCATTATGTTATGGTTCTAGACCTCTTTGTACGTTACTAATATGATTGATAACTTAATGCAATCCACACCCTAATTCAAAAATAAATAAATCATAAAAAGACTTTTTTTTCTTTTTAATAAGGTTTAATATTATT